CTTATAATAATAACATATCCACAACATAAAACGTACCATCTTAGCAATTGTCAAGTGCACAGGTCAGTGGTTTTAGGCACATTCATTGTTGTGCAGCACTCACCACCGCCCACCCACACAGTTCTTTCATCTTCCCAAACTGAACCTCCTGTCCCATTAAACACTCACTCTCCCCCAGGCCCTGGCACCCACTGTCTACTCTGTCTTCATGTGAATGTACTTAATGCTACTGAACAGTGCATGTAAAATGGCTAGGATGGCCCTGGCCAGTGTTAGTGGTTAGAGCATCAGCCTTCGCACCAAAGGGTCCTGGTCAAGGGCAGGTAACTGGGTGCAGGTTTGGTCCCTGGCCCAGGTTGGGGCCTGTCAATAGGCAACCAATTGATGTTTCTCACATCTATGTTTCTCTCTCCTTCCCTCTCTCTCTCTAAAAGTCAATGGAGCTCTGGCCGGTTTGGCTCAATGGATAGAGCATCAGCCTGTGGACTAAAGGGTCCTGGGTTCGATTCTGGTCAAGGGCACATGCCTGGGTTGTAGGCTCGATCCCCAGTGGGGGGCATGCAGGAGGCAGCCGATCAATGATTCCCTCTCATCATTGATGTTTCTATCTCTCTTTCCCTCACCCTTCCTCTCTGAAATAAATAAAGATATATTTAAAAATAATAATAAAAATAAGTCAATGGAAGAAAGAAACCCACACCTGAAACCTATATGTTCATGTTGACCAATGTAATCCCAATCAATTTAATAAATATTTTTAAAAAGTCAATGGAAAAAATATCCTCAGGTGAGGATTAATCAAAAAGTAAAAGTAAAAATAAATGGTTAAGATGGTAAATTTGATGTTATGCATATTTTACTACAATATATCTTTTTAAAAGCACATCTTCCCAGCTAACCTTCTAAACCCTAGGCTAAGAATCCCTGTATCCATGATTCTTTCTCCCTCTCCCTTTGTATTTTAAAATATTTTTCTCAACTGTAATCTCTCTGGTCGAATGGGGACCTACTCAGACATTCTCTGATGACCCTGAGACCCAATCTCTACTGGAGAAATAGCATCTGTCATTTCACACCGTGTACCTGGATGGGTTTTCACCTACGTTGCCTAGTTAGGCATCAAATTCTTAATCCTGCATCTGTGGGCGGCAAATTCATTAATATGGAAGTGGGAATCACTCAACAGACACCCATTTTGTTAAGAATATTAAGTTTCAGGAACTAGGTTCAGGGGGAAAGTCCTCTAATGCAACTGACCTTGGAGATCTACAATGTGAGAATGTGAAGGTGTGCTGTGAAGCTGCAGAAAGTAAGTGGTGATACACTGTGCAGGACACAGAGGGGGAGGAAAAGGGTCTGAGTAAGAAGTGCCTATTTGTGGAAGCAAAGACACATAACAATAGCAGAGGCAAAATGCGAGACAAAAGAATTATCCCCGCTAACAGCACGGGGTGTGTGTGTGTGTGTGTGTGTGTGTGTGTGTGTGTGTGTGTGTGTGTCTGTTCCTCAGGATGACTGACTGCCTTTATGCTTCAGAAACATCACAGGGTCTGAACCAAAGGAGACTTTCTCAAGGCCGTGGCACCGGACTGCAATGACGATCTCCACCTGTGGAGCCCTGCTGCCTGTATTGCTTTGGCCATTTTTGTTACGCTGGTAATGGCAGGCTCCCTTAATGTAGAAGTGACCGGGCTGGCTTGTAGCATGGTAAAAGCCCTGAATGCCACTTCCAGGGCTATATAGGGGTTAAATCAAGAGCTGAGCCAGGTCAGGGAGGTAGTTCTAGAGCAGTGATGGTGAACCTATGACACGCGAACTCATTTTTTTGGTTGATTTTTCTTTGTTAAATGGCATTTAAATATATAAAATAAATATCAAAAATATAAGTCTTTGTTTTACTATGGTTGCAAATATCAAAAAATTTCTATATGTGACACGGCACCACAGTTAAGTTAGGGTTTTTCAAAATGCTCACACGCCGAGCTCAAACGGTTCGCCATCACTGTTCTAGAGAATCGGGCAGCAGTAGATTATTTGCTGCTGCAGCATCACCACGGTTGTGAGGAATTTAAAGGAGTGTGCTGTTTTAATCTTTCTGACAATTCTCAGTTGATAGAACATATATCCAAGATCCTGCATTTGGTGTATTCCATCCCTGGGAACTGCTTTCAAGGCAGAAGCAGATGTGGTCCAGCAGGATGAGATTTTTCATCTAAAACTAATCTCATAGATATGAGATTTTAGAAATAGCAGTGGGGAAATGTTAGGGGCAAAGATAGAATATTGGGGACTAGCTATGGTTATGGGAAATATTAATCAGGCTCTGTTAACCATGATTGCCTTGTGTTGGTTAAAGAAAGGACATTCTGCCCTAACCGGTTTGGCTCAGTGGATAGAGCATCGGCCTGTGGACTGAAGGGTCCCAGGTTCGATTCCGGTCAAGGGCATATACCTTGGTTGTGGGCACATCCCCAGTGGGGAGTGTGCAGGAGGCAGCTGATCGATGTTTCTCTCTCATCGATGTTTCTAACTCTCTATCCTTCTCCCTTCCTCTCTGTAAAAAAAAAAAAAAAAAATTCAATAAAATATATTAAAAAAGAAAAAAAGAAAGGACATTCTGACCTGGCTGGGAGTTGTACACTCCCAGGACCTAGGAGACAACCTTGGAATCATTCTCATTCAAGAACTGCCTATTATCATGGAAAGATTAACAACCTTGTTGCCCAAACAATAGAGTCCCACCCAGCCTCCTACTTCCCCATGTAATCTTTGTCCTACCTTATATAAGCAGCTGGCTTATGGGGGAGGAGGGGCCTGCAGAGCAGATTTTTGTGAATGACCTGCTGCTCTCCCATACTGCCAATGGTACTGGAATAAATGCTCATATATGATTTTTAAAAAAAATATATTTTACTGATTTTTTACAGAGAGGAGGGGAGAGGGATAGAGAGTTAGAAACATCGATGAGAATTCAACTCACCACCTTTTGGACAACTCTCCAACAAACTGAGTCACACTGGCCAAGGCTTATTTTTAAACTAACTTTTTACTTTGCAGTTCTGGCCACATTGAAAGTAATGGCCTTTTTCCTGGAAGCAAATTATTCTGAGTCCTGAGGACTTCCTATATTGGGTATTGTTTTTTAAAACGGTGGCTCTCAAACCTGGCTACCCCCAAGGCTGCCCAGACTTGAGTGGTCTCTGGTGGTGCTCCCTGGTGTGGGTGCCCCTCCCCCCCAAAAACTCTGATGGACTCAGAGTAGCAGGTGGCTTTGGGCTGGCCACCAATTTGCCTATATGTGCCAGGAAAACAGGGTCAACAGCCTGACCCAGATGCTCCAGTGCCAGAAGGGCAGCCTGTGTCCTTCCTCTAACCTCCAGAACAGAGAGAATGGAACATTCTAGAGCAGTGGTTCTCAACCTGTGGGTCGCGACCCCTTTGGGAGTTGAATGACCCTTTCACAGGGGTCGTCTAAGACCATCAGAAAACACATATATAATTACATATTGTTTTTGTAATTAATCACTATGCTTTAATTATGTTCAATTTGTAACAATGAAATTGAGGGTCACCACAACATGAGGAACTGTATTAAAGGGTTGCAGCATTAGGAAGGTTGAGAACCACTGTTCTAGAGTCTTTACAGCTGGGGGAGGAAGTGGCTACGTAGGAACACGTCTAGTTTCTTTCCAGCCCAGTCTGGCTTCCTTCTCTGTGTTGTGTTTTTGTTTTCCTATTCATGCCTGGTGCTGTGTTCTCTGTCATTTCTAGTGGACAGTGAATTGTGATGACCCAGATGTCCGAGTAGAGTATATGAGGCGTTATCCAAGGCATCCCTTGAGATAAACTTAACCATGCAGGTATTCGGTCATTAAATAGTTGCTAGCGAAGAGACTACTCTAAGCAAGCAGGACCAAGGGTACGCATTATCATCTGACCTAGAGGCCCAGTGCATGAAATTCGTGCACTGGAGTGGGGGGGTGTCCCTAAGCCCAGCCTGCACCCTCTCCAATCTGGGACCCCTTGGGGGATGTCCGACTGCTGGTTTAGGCCCGATCAGGGATTGGGCCTAAACCGGCAATTGAACATTCCTCTCACAATCTGGGACTGCTGGCTCCCAACCACTCGTCTGCTTGCAAGCCTGATCACCCCCTAACCACTCCCCTGGTTGGCCCCTAACTGCCCTCCCCTGCCAGCCTGGTCACCCCCAACTGCCCTCCCCTGCTGGCCCGGTCACCCCCGACTGCTCTCCCCTACCGGCCTGGTCGCTCCTAACTGCCCTCCCCTGCCGGCCTGGTTGCTCACAACTACCCTCCCCTGCCGGCCATCTTGTAGCAGCCATCTTTGACCACATGGGGGTGGCCATCTTTGTGCAACGGGGTGAGGGTCAATTTGCATATTACCTCTTTATTATATAGGATAGTTAAGACTGCCAGAGGAATTACGCCACACAAGAATATGCAGTTGCAAATCACACAGCACACTTTATTACTCACAGGGTTCCTGGTGCTGTAGGCTCAAACTTAACGGGGTCCCTGGAAAAGAGTGGCATCCTCTGCGGGCAGCGGTGGATCTGTCTTTGGGTGACTGGCAGTCTGGTTGGGTCGAGTCAGCGGGAGAAGGGCGACCGAAGCCTCATGATCAGTGATCAGAGGTTTAGCTGTTCTACTGTCCAGCGTGGAGCAAGGAAGCGTGGAGCGTGGAGTGTGGATCAAGAAGATGATCAATGTCTGAAGTCGGGGACTCGTTTTTAAGCCTGTTCTAGGCCATGGCAGTCCAGGTGGCTATCAGTAACATATGTCATCACACAAGTGTTAATCAGAGAACAAGCTGGTTATCTATCACTGTCACTCAGAAGGTGTCTATCAAGTTTACATACGTCATTCCTAAGGGTAGCATTCAGCTATGGTCTTATCTATATGGTGCCGCTAGGGATTGGCCAGAGTGGTCATTCCCTGTGCTCTTTAATATTTCACAAAAAGTAATTTTTCTATAAGTTAATTTGTTACTAAGACACTAGAAATACATGACGGCTGCCTCAGAGGAGTGACAGCAACCTGGGTTCTTTCCAGCCCCCCACCTCCACCCCATCACACCAAGCTTGTTGGGGAGCTGCTCTTAGCCAGGCTGTAACTGTTGTTAGGATTTCCCACAAAACCTACCAGGTAGGAAGCAAGCAGCCAGACCTGAGTGGAGGGGAAGATGGGGACCAGGTGTGTGCTCCTGGGGCCACCCGCTCATCCACCAGGCCTTTCCTTCTGGAGTGCTTAGGGTCTGCCGTGGTTGAGGGGAGACCTCATAGGGCCCTCTATAGACAGAATCCTGGGGTCCCTGAGCCCCACCTGCTCAGGTCCCTGGAGCGCAGGGTTGGCTGGCTTCACACAGGGTCCTCCTGCCCCACCACCCACCTGGGCCCCGGCCCCAGCCCCAGCGTCCTGGGCCCTGGGGCTCACTGTGGTCAGGCACGACTGTGGGGCTGAGCTGGAGCAGTAACAGCGTATGTGATGCGGGAACACTGAGAACCCTGGGCGGCTGCTGGGCTTTGTCCCCAGAAGAGCCGCCCACCCTACCCCGTGAGACTCCCGAACTTCTGATCCTACTCCCGGGTGTCCCCTGGGTCAGGACGGGGCCCCGACTCCGTCAGAGAATGACCGCGTGGGAGGACCCCTGGAGTCACTTGGGGGCCGCTCCCTGGTCCCCACGAAGGGTGATGTCCCCCGCCGACACAGCCCCTGTCCCCACTAGAGGGGTCCCCAGGCCACGCGCTGACTGCGGGGCGATGACAGGACTCCCTCCTCCGCTCCCGGTGGCCGAGCGCCGAGTCTACATGGCCCTCGCCCAGGGACATGTGGGGACAGTCTACGCGGGCACCTGCCCCCGAAAAAGCGGCTCAGTCAGGCAGGCATCTCCTACCGCGGACCGGGAGCGCGGCCGAGCTGTGTCCGCCCCCACCTTTCCGCGCCGGGTCCCCACC